GAAAGGACGTGGTGGCTGGGCATCATGGCTTGCTCTGCAGAAAGGACGTGGTGGCTGGGCATCATGGCTTGCTCTGCAGAAAGGACGTGGTGGCTAGGTGAAGAAGCTGGTCATGCTCTGAAGCTACAGGGAGAAAGGGAGGCCCCGATGTTCTAATGAGCCCATCAGCCACTCCTTGCAGCTCACCCGCTGGGCCCTGAGGAGAGCCCAGCCACTGCGTAGCCACCCCACAGCGTAAGGAGGAATGACATACTGCTGCACAAACAAGGGCTGTGCATCTCACGAGGGTCAGATCATTACGGCTGGGCCCACTAAGAACACCTGGGGGAAAAGAAATCACCAAGGTTTAGAGACCATCTTACTCAACCCTCCTGCAAATCCGAGAGAGGAAAAGACCCTTCCAGTCCTGCTGCCTCTGGTGTGAACGCGGCCAGGCTGAGGGCTCCCAATGCCCAGGATTCCACAGCCCACAGGGAGCAAGGGCTGCGGAGAGTCCTGAAGGGCGAGGAGAGAAGCTGGCTGTGTCGAGAGGAGGGTGGTGAGAAGCCCCAGGGCTCTCCCACAGTTGTCCTCATGCACTTGTCTGATCTGAAACTGAACCTCATCTAACGCTTGTGAGCCTCAGGGGATGGACATGGCAGGATCTGTCCTACAATCCGAATCACAGCTTAAACAATGGGATCGGATGGGTAAACCTACTGAGGCTGGAACATTTCACCTCCAACATCAATGCCTCTTGCTACAATTGTGGTCACTGCCACATTATGTTCAGAGATGACAGAGGACAGCAACCCCCACCCCCCCGGCCAATCACTGACAACACACTCGAGTTATTTCTTACCTTCTCTGTTTAGCTAAACCATCACACGTAAATTGTTTGTCAATTCGTTACAGTTCAATCTCCAAGTATAATTTGAATCTCCCAATTATTTCCACAATGGCTAAACTAGAGGAGGTCACATACAGCTTAGAATCAGGGCTTTGAACCAGTCTGAACCAGTTCAGTCACGGTCAACACAGTGAACTGAGAACAGAACCCAATTTGTAAAATGTAAGTATACTGGAATGATAACTGAAATGGGAAAATTTACAGGGTGGAGCCCTGGAGTGGCAGACTCAGAAGCAGCAGTTAGCCCTGTCGGGAGCCTGACGCAGGAGACTGGGAACGTGCCAGGACTGTGGACCGTGACAGACGTTCAAAGATTCTCTGCCAGCTGCCATTCTGAAGGGAGCCGGGTACTGTTGCTTCCTACTCTGCTGTTTAGGAGATTTTTTTGTTTATAATTGTGATTTGGGTTAAAGTTTACAGAGCAAATTGGCTTTCCAGTTAACTATTCATATCCATTTTGTTTTGTGACAGTCACTGCAAACCCCCAACGTAACACCTCTCTTCCCACTTCCTCCTGTTTACCATGTTCCTTCCTCCTCCCTTCCTACCCCTCCCTGCCTTCTGAGCTTTATCCCTGAGCAGACACTGCCCTTTTGATCTCATATGGTTGACTGTTCTAAGGAGTGTGACTTCCCTGGGACCACTGTTCACCTTACAGGCCTAACATCAGGCTGAAAACTGAGCCACAGGGATGAGTTCAGCCCCAGGCCTGAGGAGTGTAAGAGCCACAGTCCTGGCTTCTCAAGCAATTCGGTTGTAATGCAATGCACACGCTGGTCTTGTTTTCTAAGATGGAGACTGAGTTTCTAGCAGGTGCTGGCTTGTAATTTTTCCTGTTCTGCTTATTGTTTTGGAATATCCACATTTTACAAATTCAGGTCCATTTTGGTTTCACTTTGTGGGCCATGACAGCTGGGAGAACTGGTTCGAAAGCTGTACCAAGAGTGAAACTCCTTTTTACCCTTCACGTCTCAGGCAGATTCTCTGAAAATCTTACCAAAGCACATTTTCCTTATAAAAATGACCAGAATTACTGGTCAGATAGACACTGGGGAAACCCCTGAGACTATGGCTCTGGGTTATCCTTCGGGGCCGGAACTGGACTTACTTCTGTGGATTAGCTAGCTCTCAGCCAAACAGCAGAAAGGCCTACAAGCAGAACACCTACCCTAGGGAGACACACCCCTTAGAACAATCAACCATGAGACCAAAAGGGCAGCCCTTGCATCGGGGAGAGGCCGGAGCGACAGGAGCTCAGCTGAGGGCGGCACGGGAGGAGAGCTGTCTGCTGTTGCAGCTGCAGTGAAACAAAATACGCGCGAGCTGTCGAGAGTCAGACGCATCTGCTTCGCAAATCTGTGCCCAAATCACACACAAAAAATGATAAATAAATAAAAAACAAAGTAGGTTTTCCTTCTCTGTTTTACATCATTGCTGTCTGTTCACATTTTTTCTAGAATGTCTTTCAAATTGTGATGATACACTTTGATTTGTGTACTTGTTTATACAATTTGATTGGGCAAAAAATTCTAGGTTAGAAATTATTTTCTCTCAGGCCTTGATCCATTTTCTTCTAGCTTCCAGTACTGTTGAAAAGTATGATGTCATTCTGTTACAACCCTTTGTGACCTACTTTTTCCTCTTCTTTCTTCTTCACTCTGATGTATGTACATTTGCATGTACCACAGATTAATTAGGAGCTCTGGTAGTGTAGTGCCTAAGGTGTCTGACTGCTAACCAGAAGGCTGGCAGTTCAAACCCACCAATCACTCCTCGGATGGAAGGTCAGGCAACCTACTTCCATAGTGATATGGCCTCGGAAACGCAAGGAGGGGTTGCTATGAGTTGGATCTGACTCAAAGGCAGCGAGCTGGTTGGTAGTTGGACAGATTAATTATCTCTGTACATTAGTGTTCAGTCCAGATACACCATGAGCCTTTAGTCATTTAGAATACTGGGTACTCACTGAGTGTTGTCACCTGGAAATTCATATTCTAGAATTCTGGGAAATGGTCTTTGCTACTTTCCCCTCTTGTCCTCAGTTTGTTTACAGTTCTTCTACCACAAACTAGGTCTCCTGACAGGTCCTCCCATCTTTTAGCTTAATTTTCACCTGAGTTTTGTACTACTTTCCAAGAGATTTTCTTGACTTTATTTTCCAATGCTTTTACGAAATCTCTTTCTGATACTATGTTTACACCCCTCGCCCCAATCCTTTTCCAATGTATCTTTTGTGAATACAACTGTTCCTGTTATATCATCTTCCTCTCTTATTAAATCTTTGAAAACATCAATTATAGGTTTTTGGAAGTGGTCTTGTTTTCCCGTTTTTCTTCCTTGCCCCCCTCTCCCTCCCCGGTTTGTTTGAGTCTCCGGTTATCCTCAAATCCCTCAGGAGCCTTGGCCACCCTTCCATATTTGAAATGGTGGATTGAATGCTATGGAGGTGAGGGCTGGACCACAGGCTGACTAGGCGGAGACAAAGTCAATTCCCCGAAAGACACCCGATCGTCTGTACGCAGAACACTTAAGTCAATCAACTTTCCCAGAGAAGAATAAAAAAGGGGTAAAGGAGTTCTAGGAGGCAAGCAAAGGAAGGGGGCCAGGAGAGGGTGTGGTTCCATCACTGCACGGACTCCTGCTTTCAGGATGGCTGCCCAAGTCAAGATGCTTGGATTCAAACTCTTCAGAAAACAAACTGCCTAGTTTCCTCAGGAGCAGAGAAGGTGCTGTCGCCTGGGTGGGTGGGCTGCGGAGGTGACATGGGGTCTCCGTGGGCTTTGTGCAGGCTGTCAACAGTCCCAGCTTTCTAGAGTTCTGCCTGTGCCTCCACCACTGAAGGAGCTGGTGGGCCTCGCTCCCAAGCCCCTGGGCCCTGGAACCGGACTCAGCAGGGTTCTTGTTCCTACTGCCCAGCCCCCCTCAGCCTGACTCCCGCCTCTCAGGACTTGCTCTCAGCTCTAAGTCACTTACCATTCGCCCGTTTTCCAAGCTGGTCAGAATCTTTTGGTGGTCACGTGTTCTCGGACACACCCTTTTTAAATTCCTTTACTATCATTTTTAAGTCTGGAGGCAAGCAAAGACAAATGCACCAGCCTTTTGAAGTAGAAGCCCTATTTCCTGGTATTTTTAATTCTTAGGTTTTGAATTAATCTACAGTGAGACTGATCTGTGGTTTGCGTCCCTGTTTCCACACACTTTGAGAGCAGGTTCAGAACAGGTGAAAAGAATAGGAGCTTTTCTTAAGTTCAGGAGCAGCTGGAAGAACTATCGATTCACTAAA